GATGGTTGGGCAGGCGGAATAAGGCCTAGGGGAGGTCCTTGTCAGGAAGTTCACGTTTTCACTGCCTTCCTGCCCATAGTCTTATTGCTGAAGCAGTAGGGTTGGGAAGCTTTAGGGATACACTCATTCTTCCAGAAGTGGTAAAAGGAACTAGTTTTAATGGTTTATTCTGGCATCTGTCAACCACTGTGAAAATGCCCAGAGCATGGTTGGCCCTTTGCCCAGGGACTAATGAGATAACCTCCACCTCCTGCACTTTACAAGACAGGCAGGTGGCCACAGTTGCTACTGGGCCCAGTGGCCATGCAACTTGAAAGCTGTCTGCAATGTACTGAGGGGTAAGAAATTTGGGCTTAGCAGAATATCTGCATTCAAATACTTATTGGCTTGTTACTGGTTAGGTGATCTTGGGTAGGACTTTTGATCTCTGTGAATATCAGTTTCCTTGTCTGTAATATCTGTCTCATGAGTTGTTGTGATAATTCTGGGATAACACAGAGGAAAACTTTTTGTAAACAGTGAAGCATTTTAAAGCCAGCTTGGTGGTACATACTGGTAAGCCCAGTACTATGGGAGGTTGAGGCAGGAGGATCACAAGTTCAAGAGCAGTCTGGGATGTAGCTCAGTGCAAAAGGTCCTGGGTTCAAGGTCCAGTACTAGAAAAAAAAAGCATTTTACAAACACCAGCTATTTTTATGTCCATGTATTTCGTTCATTTTGCCTGTTTTAAAAGGAGTTAGGAAGTGGTGGGGAAGATGATAGAAAATGCATCACATGAACTGGTTGCCTGCACAAGCCTGGTGCAATGAGAACTACTCAGCGAGGCCTTTTCTCCTGGCAGGCTCGGGAAGCAGAGTTTGAGGCTGAGCAGGAGAGAATCCGGAGAGAAAAAGAGAAGGAGATCGCCCGCCTGAGGGCCATGCAGGAGAAGGCCCAGGATTACCAGGCAGAACAGGTGGTGACCTCCTTTCCTCCTCCACGTCCCTCACTTTCCTCCACCACTTCCATGGTCTTCCTGTGGCAGCCTGTAAAATGGCCCACGCGGGGAGACACAGAGCGGTGGATGCAAGGCGGCTGCCATGTGTTCGTGTGTGTAAAGGAACAAAGAGCAGCATGTGCTTAAGGTTCCAAAGATGGTCCTCGGTTGCTATGCGAAGAACTTTCAACCCTACCTGAAAGAAATATGTCATCAGAGGGACTTGTGATATCTCTATCATTAACAGTTTTTAAAATTAGAAGCAATTACAGGACTGCCTGGAGGTGTTTGGGAACTGGCATGGAATGGGGAGAAATGGGGTGGAGGGACCCGGTGACCCCGCGGGCTATCTTCTGACCCGAAGTTCCATGCTGGGTTCTTTCCCAGAATAATTTGGTGTCAGAGAAATCCACATGCTTCTTAAAGCTGACTGAGTAAAGCTGTAAATAGGTGTCTTCCTAGAGACACCTAGTTTGTACCTAAGGTGGTTTTGTGTCCGCTCCCCTCACCCATCCCTGCCCAGGATGCCTTGCGGGCCAAGCGCAACCAAGAGGTTGCAGACCGAGAATGGCGCAGAAAGGAAAAGGAAAATGCGCAGAAGAAGATAGAAACTGAGGCTAAGCTGCGAAAGAGTCGACTGGAGCAGGTGGCTTTCAAGGAGCACACCCTGGCCGTTCAGGTGCAGCGCGACCGGGATGAGTTTGAGCAGATTCTCCGGTAGGAGGGGAGAGGGAACCTTGGCTTGCTTCCTGGTCTGCTGTGCGGTGGGAGGGGTACGAGGTGTTCAGCAGGGACGATTCACGCTAGATGAAGAGAAGCTTTCTGGTACTGTAATGGGCAGAACCGGATCCCTCTTGACCATGTTGATGCCACCACTGTACTAGATGGATGGCTGGATTATTTCAAACCACTTGAGCCAAGAAGTTTGTGATTAGAGGATTGGAAAAAAGCATCTTGAAATGCTTTTAGGATTTTGAGGATTATTAGAACTATTTATCCTGAGGCAGTGAAGGTGTATATAAACCTGGTCCCCTGCTCCCATGTCTCCCTGAACATTAGGGATGAAGGATTGGGGATATAGCTTAGTGGTATAGCACGTGCCTGGCAAGTACAAGGTTCTGAGTTCAATTCATGGTACCAAAAACAAACCAAACCACACCAAACAAAAATTAAGGATGAAGCTTCGGCAGAGGAGACTTAGGAAAGGTGGAAAAGGACTTCATTCACGAAGTGCTGTGTCACTAGGGCAGGACTTTGAAGAAGCCTTTGCCATTGATTCAGCAAATGTGCATTCATCATATACAATCTAAGGTTCACAGTTCCATGGAGGACACTGGGAATTAACACAGAGAGATCTTGCCTGCTCCACAGGAAGGATGCTAGAGATTTCTGTTTAGATGGACCTCACCTATATTCATCCATTTTTCCTGCCTGGCAACATTTCATACCTTTTATTTTTGTGCCCTGTTTTGGCTCAATAATTCCAGCACCTAAGCAGAAGCAAAGCATTCATATGGGTCACTGTCCCAACCCTCCCCAGGGTATTCAGTAATCACAGGTGCCACTGGATCCCCTCTATGCTCTGTTTTTTGCCAGTCACATCTGCTACCACCAGACCTGGCCAACCTAGAAATAACTCCCTTCTTGTTCTGGATCTTGCAGCTTTTGAAAGATAAGGATTTTTCAGAAGGAGAGCATGTAGGCAGAATTTGAATCTGGAAATTACGAAACTGCATCAGTTACTCTCAGATAAGTAGAGACTGGACAGATGGCCCAGCTTCCACAGTGAGCATGCAGTGGGCCTTCGCTCTTGCACTGCCTCAGTTAGTTGCATGCCAGACCTGGACACCCAGCCCCTGGCAGAGGCAGAGCAGATCTGGGGGAACCTCTGTCTTTGCTAGAGCCAGATACCTGATCTTTTATAAGACCATAGGCCCTGTAGGTATTTCCCACTGGCTGTGGTGCCCTTTGGCGCTTTGCTTTCCCTGCCCTTGGGATTTTGCCATGGTCACTGGACACCTGGTAAAGGAGACACCTTCCTAAATGCCTCCAGAGAGCTTGCCCCTGGGCTCCAGATTGCCTCCTGATGTCTCCCCTCTCCTCCTTGGTCTCTGTGCCCTTGGACATCTGTGTATGTTTAGCAGCACTAATAAATATTAATGAAATGAAATTAAGGTCCTATTTTTGCTGCTGACCCATTTGTCTCTGCTTTGCTTTGTTTGCCTCAAGCAGACACACTAGCCAGTTATTAAAACTGGCCTGGTCCTTTGGAGACGTTCAACTTTACCTGTTCTCCTGGGTTGTCATCTAGTCCTTGTGTCTTTAGGTCATGTGACCTCCATGATGGGCATCTTCTCTCTTAAAATGTTTTTGCCACAGCCAGCAAATCCAGATGTTCTTACTTTAAAGGCAAGATCTCCTGCATGTGGACTTCCTGTTTCTGGACAGAGGGATGTTTTTAACTCTCAGTGTGTTAACTAAGCAGAGATTGCTGTTCTATACCACCACCTGGCTCTCAGAAATGTCTGGCACCTTTGCAAAAAATGTTGATGTTAAGGTTTCACCACCACAAATTGTGATTTAAATGGCCTGAGGTGAGGCCCAGACATCATTATCTTCTGGAATCCCCCGCATGATTTTAATACATAGCCCAGCAACAGGATTATTGGCCTAACCCTATAGGGACAGAGTCTTCCCATTTGGATTTCCTACTGCCCCAAACCCCAGGCATACAGAGCCCCTTTTTCCACATTCTCTCCCCCACTCAGTGGAAGGTATCCCACAAGAATCTGATCTACACATAGAAAATCAGTGGCGAGGAAGGGGAGAGTCACTCTACTGTCAGGATGGTGTCCTAGCAGTGGGCATTTGGAGTCCAGATGCAGAAGGGCAAGGAAGCCGGTCACTCTCATCACATAAACTTGCGAAGACTCAGTAGAGGGTGTGGGATTTTAGGAGACAGAGCTGCTGGAGTTTGAGAGGATGCCACGTGTGTGGTGGGAGGATGGTGACAGAAGATGAGAAAACAGAGTAGTGTATCTGGGATCTTTGTTGGGATAGGAGTGAGCCTCCGAGAGGAGAGTGGGAGAGAGATCCTTGCCTAAAATGGCTTTTTTTTTAAGACAAGGTCTTATTATGTAGTGCAGGCTGGCCTCAAACTTACAGCGATCTTTCTGCCTCAGCTTCCCGAGTGCTGCGATTAGAGGTGTACGCCACCATGCTTGGCCTCCCTAAAATGGCTTTGGATTTTGGTTTTGATTATATTGAGAAACAACCTGAATTCAGCTCAAAATGTCCCAAACACATTTTCTCTGAGATGTGACCATATTTTATTTCATTTTTTTCTGAGCCTATCTAGGTTTTTTTTGTTTTTGTTTTTGTTTTTTTTTTTTATGTCAGGGTCCCTGAAGTTATGTGTATATTATGTGCACATGTGTGGTACAGGAGATTTAACACTTTTGCACTGAGTTGCATCTCCAGCTTTTGTTTACCTCTTATTATGAGACAGGATCTTGCTAAGTTGCTAGGTTGCTCAGGCTAGGTGAACTTGAAATTCTCCTGCCTCAGCCTTCCAGAGTGTGAGGGTGTCTGTCACCAGGCCTAAATGTGTGAAGTATTTTGGTGGAAGAGGCTTCTAAGAGGAATTTGGAGATGTGGATCCATTAGAGAACTAAGACACTAGGCTGATCTTTTTCTTTTTTCCAGAACTTAATTTGAGTTAGCATTACAGCCTTATCATCTGTCTTTCTTTCTTTCTTTCTTTCTTTCTTTTTTTTTTTTTGCGGTACTAGGGATCGAACTCATGACCTTGTGCTTGCCAGGCAGGCACTTATGCCACTGAGCTAAATCCCCAGCCCTTTTCTGTTGGTTTTATTGTTATCACTGTCAGAGAGGGAAACAAGAGAAGAAGGAAGAGAGGAAGGAAGGAAGGAAAAACAGAAGGAAGGGTTATCAGCTCTTTCCCTCTCTGGGTTCTTATTCTGAGGTGACACAGAAAGAAGAAACAAAATACAGCACACAGAGGGGAAGGACCAGGTGTGTTTATTAGAAAGAGCAAAAAACAAAGCCATTGCTATATGTGGAGGACAAGAGGATACCGAGGAAGCATCCAAATCCAGGCGGGCAGGAAAAAGGGCGGAGTACATGCAAACTGTAGGCAGCTTCGCTGCTGCGCCCATAGCTTCCTTTGAGGCTTTTCCTCAACTTGCTGTTCGTTTACTTAGTTTATTTAGTTTTGCTCAGGCCTTTGCCCTTTGTCCCTTTATTTTCTGTTTTCAGAATGAAGGAAGGGAAGGAAGGATGGAAGGAGGGGGAAGTAAGCTTTAGAACAAGCTGGAGAGCAGCTACGAATTGTTAAGGAAGAGTAGCAAAAATAACCCCCAGTGCGTGAAATCCTGGTTGTAGAACCAGCTACACAATTTGCAAAGCCCAGTGAAAACTTGGACTGTGGAGCTCCTTGTTAAAGAATTTCAACACCACAGACAGCAGAACGTTAACCCAGCCTGGGGTCCTTTCGAGCTGCTAGGACACACAGTGGCATGCCCACAAGGCTAGCGTTGGTTGAGGGAGGAGGGAGCACATGTGACCACCTTTGGGCTGACCCTTGAGCTGCAGAAGAGCCTGGGCTGCGTGGTCTCCACAGCATGGCCCCAAGGAGGGGCTACCCAGCCAGCTCCTAGCCTTTCTTCTGTAGGGTTGGTGCAGCCCAGCCCATTCTACTCCTGGCCCATTCCATTCCTCAGGGCTCAGAGAGAGCAGATTGAGAAGGAGCGGCTGGAGGAGGAGAAAAAGGCCACAGGGCGCTTGCAGCATGCCAACGAGCTCCGGCGCCAGGTGCGTGAGAACCAGCAGAAGCAGGTGCAGAACCCGATCGCCACCTTCGAGGAGGGCCGGCGCCTCAAAGAGGAGGCCCAGAAGCGGCAGGAGCGCATTAATGACATCAAGAAGAAGAAACTTGAAGAGCTGAGGTACACTGGACCCCTTCTTCCCTGGCACTTCTCCCCTTCCCCAAAGAGAATGATGTCCAGCCGCTTCCTTACGCCTGCCCTGCATTTTCCCTCCTGCAGAGCCTCCGGTCTTCCTGAGAAGTACTGCATTGAAGCCGAGCGCAAAGCTAAGGTCCAACCAGCAGCTCTGTGAACTGAAAGGGGAGCCTTCAGGGGCCTCAGGGTGCCTTTGAGGGGACAGATTCTGCCCAGTCTCTGGGTGTCCACAATTGCTGCTAACCTAGGCATTTCATAGTTACAGATTAAATCTATTCTACTTCTCTAAAGAACTACTCGGTTTTCTTGTGGGGATACAGCTGCCACAGGGCAGTGAAGATGGAATAAAACATATTCCGGGCACCTTATCATGGGTGTGTGATACACAGGGGCAGGGGACAGGAGGAAGCTGTCTCATGATGGTCCCTCCTAAGTGGGGTTGGCGCTTTGTCCCGGAGTGGTGTGTGAGGTGTCTACTTTGAGCCCTTTTGTCTCTGCACCTGCTCTGCACCTCCCTTACACTTGGCTCAGAGGCATCTTGGGGCACTGAGATGGAGCCAGTGGGGGCGGATCAGAGCCAGGGCTGGTGGGTGGAGCTAGGAGGATGAGGCCAGCCAAGACACATCTCTTCCTGGGCTCTGGGCTGTGATTCAGAGCACACCTGCGGAGGGGCACTGTTGGAGCCTGTGGCTCACTGCTCCTGTCTCAGCTCTCCTCAACTCCAGGTAGTTCTGCTGCACAGACCAGGACACTCCTGGGGCCCAGCTCCTTGCCTGAACACAGCTGCCCCCTCATTTACATGGCCTGGCTCACGTCAGTCCCCATAAGTAGGGGGTCCCCAAAGTGCCTTTATTTGTTGTAACTTTCCTCACTCTGCCCCAAACTGTTCCTTATGGACCCATTCACAAACTCAGGTCTTTACTGAGTGCCTGCCATGTGCCAGTTACCCTCTGGGCACGCAGTGACTACAGCAGGCCTTGCCCCTTCTCCTGGAAACCTCTGGTTTGTGCCAGGCTGCTCCCAAATACTCCCTTCAAATTTAATGCACCTGTAGAATAGTCTTAGCCTTTTTTTTTTTTTTTCCCTGAAAGGCCCAGGTTGCAGCCTCCCATTTGGGGCAGGAGTACCAGCTTGCAATATTGGAGTCACTTCCGTTATTTGAATGCCCTGGGGGAGAGGAGCTTCCAACTGACTCCCCTAGGGTGCTCCTGCCTCCCTACTCTCTAACCCCTGGAGTTTACTCCATTTCTCATATTTCTCATGTTGTCTTCCTGAATGTAGCCTGCACTGGAGGAGGCAGGGGACAGTGGCTTGAAGCGTCCTAGATGTTTACAGTGCCAGGTTACAAGGGCCCCGGGGCAAGAGTCCTCTTTTCATAGGGCTCAGGAGAGTCAGCAAGCTGCTTCCTGTGCTTCCTTTTCCTCAGGCCTGTGCACTGCCCCAGGTGTCCCCTCCATCTTCTCCACTAGATAATGTATCTCCCCAACCACTTGGGTAGTACACCTGTATTTGTAGGGGGGACCCTTTCTCACCGTCATGGCCCTGTAGTCGTAAGTGCAATCTTTTACCTAGTAAACCCTCCTCCAAAGCTCTTGAAAGTATGTAGCACGTAACTGTGGATGAGAGAGAAGGCAAGGCAGTACTGTCAGGGAGGCTGGCACCCTTCTGCTGGTGGCTACCAGCATCATCTATTTAGTTGATATGTGCAGACACCAAAAAACATCCCTTACCTATTTTAGAGGACTGTCTTTCCCAGGAAAGTCATATAGCAAGCCTGGTCTCCCCAGCTCTGCACGTAAGTCACCCCTCTCAGACATGCACTTTTTCCTACTGGCCAGCCTTAAGGCATCTAGGAGGCTGCAAAGGAGTAGAGAAGGGTTTGGGAAGTATGGAGACACAGAGGAAGAGTCCTGCTGTTGCACTGCCTTTGGTGACATGCAGATGTGTTTTAAAAAGCACCGTCCCCTAAAACACCCAAGCTAATATTTGTGTGTGTGTGTGTGTGTGTGTGTGTGTGTGTGTGTGCCTGTATGGTAATGTTGATTGAGCAGAGGGGGGCTCTATCACTGAGCTATGTCCCCACCCTTTTTTATTTTGAGATAGAGTCTCACTAAGTTGCTCAGGCTGGCCTTTAACTTGCTATTCTCCTTCCTTAACCTCCAGAGTAGCTGGGATTACAGGCATATACTATTATGCTTGGCTTTGTCCAAGATATTTTAGGCTTTTTTGCACAAATATCTAATTTCTTTATATTTTACTTTTTTTTTATGTACAAAGGTGCATATTAGCTTCTGAGGGCTGCCAAGCCTCCTGTCTTGTGTTCCTGTGACCCTTTAGGTCTTTGCAATGTCAGATTGGGTTAGTCTAGTCTAGGAAATCCAGTGGCTGAATTAGCCATGAGAACTGAGTCAGATCTGCAGGCAGCTGCCCTCTAGGAATGTGTGCTCAACTCCTGACTGGGCTAAATGCCCTACCTGCCGACAGGTGCCTGGTGCCCACATGACGCTCCACTGTGGCTTGGGGGCGGTCTCAGAACCTTCGCACCTGCTGCAGAAGCAGCTCCAGGTGGGTATGATTCAGCAGCCTGTCCTGGTGGCTGAGCCAGGAAGTCCCTGACTCAGTGGGATACTGGGATGTCCTCCAGTGCCCCTGAAAAGTCCCAGCACCCCATCTGTGACTTGGGCCACGTTGGCCATTAATTGGTCTCAGTAAAAGCGCTTTGGTTTGCCTGGGATAAAAGGGGCTGCCAGAGTTCAAAGCTAGACAGGGCTCTGAGGGTGAGAAAGGGTGGCAGCTGTGTACGTGACCACAGAGGGGAGACGCTGGTGTCTCAGACAAGAAGTGTAGGTACAAATGCCATGGAGACTTGGGGACAGAGTTCCTTGCTGTTTCCCACTTTTGCCTCTCCTAACTAGTACTCCTGCAGCATAGGAACCTGGGGGAGAGCTGTGGGAAAGGGGGTGGCTTGCTGAAGACCAGAAGTCCTTTCCTATGCAAGGCTGCTCTCAAAGGTGACCCCACCTCCCCTTCTACACTCTATATACATTCTAGGAGCTCATTCCAGGGTTACATGGAAGTTTCTCAATTCCAGCATCATGGAATTATTCTTGATTTGGCTGCTCTAAATAGCTTAGACTTTCTCTCTGTGTTAGCTCCCACAGCTCCTGCCCCTCCTAGCTGGGACATGCCCTTAGTGGTGCAATTTCCCATTTTTTTTTTTTTTTTTTTTTTGTCTCTTAAGGATGCCATCTTTTGTCTCTACATTCTCAGCCAAGTCCTCCTGGCCAAAGATATCCATTGTCCCAGTGCTGTTTGGTAACTTGAGATTGGGGCATGAATATGGTTAAATTTTGGATGGCTTTCTTGTCTCCCAGGAAGGAAGGTGCAAGGCATTGGAGGGAGTGTGAATCAGAAGGGTCAGGCCCTAGAAAAAATTCCCCAGAGCTGGTGAGCATGGTCTCTGGGAAAAAGGTGATGAGATGCAAATCATAGGATGTCAAGAATGAAAGGGACCTTGAAACGTCTGAGGATTGAATCTCCTTGGTAAACTCTAGCTAAATGGCTGGACAATATGAGCTTGCACACACTGGAAGCCAGAGTATTCAGTACCTCATTACATGGCTCAAGTATCTTAGATCAGCCCTGATGCTCAAGAAGTTCTAAATACTGAATCAATAGGTGTCTTTTATGCATTTAATGCATGGCTTGGGTTTGGCTCTTTCAGACCACATAAAACAAATCCAAATCCAGGTTTGCTTTTTAAAATTAATTAGTTAATTTTTGGTATTAGGTATTAAATTGAAGTCCTCATTCAGAACATTCTACTACTGAGCCTTTTGAGATTGATTTTTTAAAAAACTTGAGACAGTTTCACTAAGTTGTGCAGGCTTGGGTTGAGCTGGAATCCTGTCTCAGCTTCCTGAGTAGCAGAGATTAAAGGTATATACCACTACACCTGGTTTAGGCTCTTCTGACATGCCTGAAACCGCTTCAGATATCTTCCATCCCAGCAACTGCACAGCCTTACCCCAGGTGAGGAGAGGGCTGTAGTTCTGGAAACACAAGGTTTTCCTGAGCATTTCAGGGAAGGATGTATTACAGGGAGGAAACTACAGGAAGTGGGGCTCCTTCCACTTTATCCTTTGGCTGAGCCTCCTGCTCTCCTGCCAGTGAACACTTCCCTCTCGACTCACCCCTGGCAGAGTTGGGTTCCCTCTGAGCCTCTCCCCCTCTGGCACCATCTTCCTCTGTTCAGTCTCTCATCTTGGTATCTAGGCAACAGGAAACAAATAAGGCTGGTGGAGTGAGGGCTGGTCAGGTCAGGTCTGGCTTAGTGGGACGCAGACACACGCCCAGCTTCCCTCTGATGCCTGCCAACTCCCACGCACCTTTGGGAAAAATGGTCTGGAGATGAGCCTGGGACTAATCTGGGACACCAGAGTGGGACCCAGGTTCCCCCAAAGATATGTGTGCAGAGAATCCATGTAGCCAAGCAAAGGAGAAGTTTTGCTTCAACTTTAGATTAATTCATCATAGGCTCCCTGATCCCCTGTTCCCCCCGATGCTTAGGCCAGTCAGTCTTTGTTGCTATTCCCTCCTAAGGGCTTGGCTGTGATCTGAGTGAGGTGCTCTAAGTGGTTTGGGTAGAAGGTTCCAAGAGGTCCAGTTCTCAAGGATCTCCTTCTTCTACCTTAAAATAACCATCACCTGTTAACTCCTGGCTGTTTTTCTCCCAATCTTCACTTAACTCCCAGGCACTGAACTTCATCTCTTATAATTGGGTTTTGTGGCATTACAGTGTCTTTCTAGAAGTGGTTCTAGGTCCTTACTGTCTTGAGCAAAGAATTGGTCAAAACAATAGCAAATGGTAGCAAGAGTTTACATAAATTTGATGTAGGAAAATAAACAGGCTCTGAAGAGGGAGTTTGGACCATGTAAAAGTGGGAAAATAAGTACACTGTACAGGACAAGAGCAGGCTACAGTGAGAACATGGTAGTCCAAAGCTCAGTGTCGACTGACCTTTTGTATTCCCCCTCCTCAGCCTGATATCAGGTCTAGGGCATCCCACTGAAAACCTACTTGAATTCTTGAGGAAGTCTTCATGCAAGGCTTTGGGAACTGTTCTGTGGGGATGTCCTGGGATTTCTGCAATTAACAGGTCATGTCTATTTCCCCAGCCAGTCTTTCATGCCCTAATCTCCTGCCTCATTTCCCCTGAGAGACACACATCCCCATAATCTTTCATGGATGCTGAAGGAGTGGAGATCTTTGTCTTCATATAGTTGCTTCCTATTGAAAGGGGCTGTTGGTCTTACCCACTGGGCAGTATGTGCTCTCCAACTACCTTGGGACTTACTGGCTAGATTAAAGAAAAAAAAAAAACCTGTCAGAAGACAATGAAAAAATAGTGTCTACAGGAACCACCTGTTTGATGAGAGACACTTTGGTGAATCTGTCAGGAGAGTAACTTTAGGGTGGTGACATAAAGCCCAAATATGAGAAGAATCAGGTCAGATCTCCATACCTCCCAAGTGGGATGTTAGATAAATTATCGAGAGCCTGAGAGCTGTAGTTTTGACAAGATTACCCACATTTTGGTTCTAATTAAAAACAGGAGTTTCAATACAGGTGCCATTTACTTACCTGTACCAAAAGCAATACTAGAGTTTTGTTTTTTGAAGAGGAACCTCAGGTCTTTCAGAGGTTCGCAGGGATAGCTTTTTTCTTTTGGTGGTCTTGTTCTCCAGATAGTTCAAATGGGGCTGGCTTTATCTTGTAGAATTGTTCCTTGTTTAAGCTCCAGGTTCCTTAAGTTTTTTTCCTAGTACCTGAGTAAAATGGTGAGGGCTCTCTCTAAATTGTTTTTGGGGAACTGTCCAAGTACACTGCTATTTTGTCTTTGAAATGAGATTTTTCCACTCAGAGACAAACACAAACTGGGAATATGGATGGAGAGGATCAGAAAAGTCAGCATCTTCAAGGTCTAAAGTTGAGAATCAATTTGTGTCTCCAGGAATTTGAGAAGGAATTGTATATGGATCTGCTACCAGAGGGCCGATCAGGATTACAGCCTTGTGAGTTAGGCACAGATCTTGTACCACCCTGTAATCTCCTATGGGAGATGAGACTATTGCAAGGGGGCAAGGCCACCGAATGCCATGTTTGACAAACTTGTCTGTGAGAGGCTGGAGGATTTGATGAGTTTTTCTTTGATTGGATACTGCTTTTGGTCAAGAAACTGGCTGAGGTCTTTGAGTTGTATAACTACTGCAATAGCTGAATTTCCCCTACCATGTATTCCATTATACCATGCAGCAGGATCCAGCTGATGGCTAATTAGGTCAGAGAGACCTGCTGTAGTCCCAATAGATAAAATCCACCATGGCCTTTTCAGAAATTTGAGAATTGTCCCTAGGTTCACTGGGAAATCTCTTTTTAGTAAGGAGGTAGGACAACATGGGAAAATTAAAAACCCACAGTTGAACATTTGACTTTCACAGTGACATGTCAGCGTAAAGAAGCATTATGTAGGAATACATTCAACCCCAATTACAGCTATAGATCTAGAGGAGAGTTTTCCAGAGAAGGAAGTTAAAACAGAATGAACTGATTCTGCATCTACAAGTAGTTAAACTGGCTCATCCATGATTTTCACAGTTACCTGGGGTTCCTCACAGGAGACGGTGAGATCTGTGAACAGAGACATTGCAGGTCGCCCAGGCCCCTTCAATCTTCATCAGAGCAGAAAATGAGAACTTTGGCTGGCTCACCTCCTCCTGGCACAGGGAGAGTCCATCCTCCAGTGCTATGAGTCAAGCACCCTGGCTCTCTGATACTCAGAGCAGGGTCCTGGTGCTAGCGTGGTGCAGCTGTGTGCCAGTGTCTAGTCCATCTGCATTTAAAATAGGAACTCTTAGTAGAAATGGAAAATAGATATATGAAAAAATGTGCAGCATCATTGGTCATTTGAGAAATGCAAATTAAAACAATGCTAAGATTCCATCTCACCCCAGAAAGAATGGCTATTATAAAAAAAAAAAAAACAACCAATAACAAATGCTGGTGAGGTGGTGGGAAAAAAGAAACACTTCTCATTGTTGATGGGAGTATAGATTTTTTTCCACTGATGTGGAAATCAGTATGGAGATTCCTCAAAAAACTAGGACTACAGGTTCTATTAAACCCAGCTTTTCCCCTTCTTGTATTTTCCAAAAAGAATTAAAAGCCTTATGCCACAGAGATATATGCATACCCATGTTTATAGTGGCATAATTTTTAAAAGCTTGGGTATAGCCCAAGTGCCCATCAATGGATAAATAAGTAAAGAAGATGTGGTTTTTTAATACTATAAAGTACTACTGTATCAATGTATCATAAAGTATAAGCTTGAGACATTTCTCAAGTGAGTGAATCTTAGTGGTCTTAGTGAATGGTCTTAGTGAATCTAAGACCATACTCTTGGTTTTTTTTTTTTTTTTGTCTTTTTTTCGGTACCAGGGACCGAACTCACAACTGCCTGCTTGGAAGGCAGGCGCTTATGCTGCTGAGCTAAATCCCCAGCCCTAAGACCATACTCTTAAGTGACAGAAAGAAGACACACATGTAAATACTGCATTGTTTCTCTGGTCTGAGAAACTGAAAGTGTAAATAAGTGTCAACATGTCTAACAGATATTGTGAAACAGGAAGAAAACATTTAAATGGGAAGGAGAGCTAGGGAGAAAGGAGAGGGATAAAGGGAGAAGAAAAATGAGAAAAGAAGGAAAAAATGGAAACATAGCATTTATAAATAAGAAGAAGAGGGATTAAAGGGAGAGTAGGAGAATGGGAAAAGAAAAATATCAAGTTTTATCACATGCAGGTACCAATTCTGTATAATGAATGTGATCATTATGTATACTTAAAAATGTACCAATAAACTTAATTAATAAAGAAAAATAGGAACTCTTTCCTCAATTGTCCTTGGGTTTGCCCTTAGCCAACCCTGGTGTTTAAAGCATTGCAGCTGCTACAGATACGGTTCTGGTCCTCCTCCATTCACCCTCATCTGGATCTCAGTTGTTAACACAGACAGGCTGCATCCAGAAACTGAGTCATAGGTATCTGTGGACTCATCTGAAATTTTTGTAATTTATGCCAAATATCTGGGGTTGATTGCCAAATGAAATGATGTACCACCAGTATATCTCCCTCCCTGGAAGATGGATCTGTGTTTGTATATTTACTAAAGATTTCTACTACAACTAATAGAAGACAGCTGGATTTTCTTCTTTGCCTTGGATAACTCTGCTCACCTTATAATTAACAGATTTCCTCAGTATCTTTTCTCTTTCACAATAAAAGCAGCTATCATGTTAGACATTATTTTTAGCACATCATTAGTATTATGGGCCCAGTTTGGTTCTATTGAAGGGATAACTGCCTCTCCAGTGTGGTTTCTTTTCCTTCTTAAAGAATATTGTTCATTTGTAGGATTCTTTGTCTTTCATCTAAGGCCTAGCAAGTGGTCAAGATGACTTGGACATCTTGCTATGATATGTTAAAAGCAAGGGCCAGAGTTTGAAACCCATTGCCTTCCTAGGATCCTCTGAAAGTTGGCCTATGTATACTTTGCATTGTTGGATATCTGCAACTGAAAAAGGGACCTGGACTTGACTAGTCCCTTCTGCCCCTGGGACCTCTCTCAGAGGCAGAACAAGTTGTGAGTTAGAGGAGTAAGAAGTACCACTATGAGTACATCCTGCAGTATCTGCATTTGCCTGAGAAGCATGGTGAGAGGGCTGAAGGATACTGGGTTCCTTGGGGTGCTAGGCTTTGATGGAATTCTTGAGTCACTTGTAGGGGCTGGGATTGATTTATTGGCCTTCAGAGAGAAGTGGGTTGAAGAGGCTTCCCACTGTAGTTACCTTCATTAAATAGGTGGAAGAGACTCATTTCTCCCAAGAAACAGGTGGGGATATGAGGACAGGATCACTTAAGATATCCCTCTCTTTCTCAGGGATGACTGTAACTATCATAATTCCTGAAATTTTCCTGAGATAAAGGGTCATCAAATCCTGAACATAAGGGATTTTACAATGCTTTATTCAGAAATGATTTAACTGAGAAATAGTGTCATAATTTAAACTGCTACCCCAAACTCACTTCTACCATTCCCTATTTCATGCCAGAGACAAACCATATTTCGATAATAGATAAGTAATTCCATTTTCAAACTGGCAGGGTCATACCACTGATCAAGGACACAGCACAGTAGTTAGGTTGGATATGTGGGGTGCTGTTCTTGGTGTTTCCCATGTTTCATGTTGGGGTGGCTGAGGAAGAGAGAGAAAGGGGGGCGGGGGACAGAGAGAGAGAGAGAGAGAGAGAGAGAGAGAGAGAGAGAGGAAGAAAGAATGGAGAGAATGAGAATAACTAGGTCCTGGATCCTTCCGATGGCATCCCATGCAGGGGGAGACCCACTGAGTCCACAAAGCAATCACTTGTGAGATTCAAGTACTTACCAAGCACTGTGATACCAATGTCTTTTCACTAAAGGCTCTTTTGGCCTTAGAATACTCCATATCATTGCTTACTAACTCCTTAGAGAGAAGGGTGAGCTCTTAGCATTTTAGGTCCCTTAGAATTTTCCCTGAGATTGAAGTGGAGGCCTCAGGGACTCCCTTAGTCACTTAAGAAATGGTATACTTTTAAGAGATCAAGATGGAGCTACTTGATGGCTCTATTTGCCATACTCATCACCCCTAGAATTGATCTTTACTGGATATTCCTTTGTTCTGCTCAGGCTATTACTGACTTTCTGTGAGAAGAAACAGAGGATCTTATCCAATTAAAAACAGAAAAGGGAGAAGGCACTTATGTTTCCTAAAATCAGAGGTTTAGCTCCCACCTACAAAGGTGAGATTTCCTGATGACTGTGAAGACAATTAAAAAAAAAAAGTCAAACAAGCATGGCAGAATCATGTGACTGACTGAAGCGACCAACTGAAATGATTAACAAACATGGCTGAATCCATGTGACCAATCCACAAGATGAACCGAAATGGCAAATTCTCATTACAAACTAAAATGGCTGACCCATGTGATGAACCAAAATGGCTGCCAGTCATAGCAGGAAGGTGACCTGGGACAAAACAAGGCTGAGAAAACAACTCTCTAATGATGATACCCAGAGATAAAAGGGTATCTAGGGGAAAAGCACTGATGAGGTTTTGAGCACAAAAATGAATAAACTGGGGTAGGTACCTATTTAAGCAGAAGATCAAGTTACCAATAGCTTAAAAAGTAAGAAAATTAAGCAATATATCATAGAGAGCAGAAACATGAGACAAAGAGGCACACCGAATTTTAGGTCACACACATGAGCTATTTGCACAATTTATCACACTGGAAGCTAAAATATTCCTTCCTTGTCTACGTCCTCATCAGATAGGGCACTTTAGCAGGACAAAGACTTTCTCCATGGCTGTTTCCCTACAACCTAGTGCAAAATTCAGACAATTTCAGAATAGGTTAGGGTTCTGAGGAATGTGGCTGATCTTCAGGAAGTAAAGAGACACTTTATCTTCAAGAACTTTCATTTCTTCCTTTGGTTTGTCACCAGGATTTCAAACACACTTCATAAGGGAATTTTTTCTTACCTCTGCTCATTCCCTCAATGACAGTCATTCAATCAGCCTTTGCTACCATGCTTTAGTAGATATGGTGGTGGGTGGACCACTCCTTTAGTGCTGGTGACTATGTACTATTCACTTTTATGAATCTGGTTCAGCCCTAGGACACTGTTTGATGGGAGAGACTTGGGTATATCTGGGCTCCCTCTTGGGCCTCTCCTTTTGAGGTGGGCCAGTGGAAAGCACAAAGGCTTAGAAGTTTGAAGCTCTCGTCCGTATTTGAACCCAGTCTGCAATTGAAATTCACATTCTCAAACTTAATGCCACGTACAGATCTCATCCCTCTTTCTGTAATGAACTTCAACCCTTTCTGTCAGAGCTCAGTGTGTTACCATGAAGCCACCAGTAGTATCTCTGAGACCTCTGCCCTTCTCATCCAAAAGTGAACTTCCTGGGCAGTCCTCTACCCTAACCCTTTGCTGGAGGATTGTTGGGAAGACAGTAGCTGCTTGGTACCTCCATGACTTTTGTGCCTGTCTGTGCTGGTTCATGGGTCCTATTCTAGAACCTCTTGAACAGAAGTCTCCCCTGCAGACAGCTCTTCCCCAGCTGCTCTGGCAATGATGAGGATGAGGGCTACATGGGGATGTGGGAAAGAGGGGCAAAAAGGCCTCCTGGAAAAGGGTTAGAAAGGGTCAAGGTGCAGTTCTAGGCCAACGCTGGGGATATTCAGCACGAACATAGGCAGCCTTGAGAAGGACCTTTGTTGGGGATATGGGCAGGGGAGGACAGATTTATAGGATGGTGGAGATACTACAATGAGGGCTTTGGAGGAAGAGATTAGGGGAATGATAGGAGCTTTGGCTCTGAGATGGGACTCACCCCATCTGGAAAGCTTGCTCTGGGGGTCTCTGGTCCCTTGTCTTGCCTCCCCATATCTCTTCTCTGTCTCTTTCCGTTCCTCTAGGCCTCTCCTTTTGATGTTCTGTTTCTGTTTTAGAATAGAAACAAATACCACTCAAACTGGAGCAAGGAAAAATGCACAACAGGAATCATTATGCTGTAGATTCCTCAGGGATAAAAGGAAAGGGACAACTTTGAAATGTATGCACTGGGTTCCAGATTGCCTGGGTCCTCTCTGCCTTCTCAGTTTGTCTTTGAACCTTTGGATGGGTCATTCACATACCATGTATGTTTCCAATGATCTCAGTCTCCTCCAACCAGGGAAATGTAAGTCTCTGAGGTCTGTTAGACATTTATAGAATCTGTAAAGAAAGTGGGCAGGAAAATGGGATGTTTGAGGTCGAGAATTAATGGGGGAAAAGGAAAGAGAGGAGTTGGAGTAGGGCATCTCTCAGGATGAAGCCTTCTTCCTTGGCTGAGTTCAAAGGCCCAGAGACAGACATGTGCTATGGGCTGGAACTCTGTCCCGCCCCTCCATTCCATCACCACCCTGCCACAACCTTGCAGGGCCCAGGGTGCAGAGTTAGAGGTCTGGGCAGTTTTTTAATAAGCCCCAAGTAACTAGGTGACAATTAGCCCTCAGTAGGTCAAGGGGGACTTCTGTGGTGCTCTGATTTTTGAAGCTCTGAGAAACCATTGTGTAGAAACCTTTTAGGAAAGGTGTCTATTCCAGGAGAATAAGTCCTCATTCTTCTTCAACTCCTTTCTCCTGCATTCCACAACCAGACACCCTTCTCAGTAAGACTCTCTCCGATGGGCCTTGACTTCTGGTTTAATTTGTTGTCAGTGTCCCCCTAATTGCCAATAGATTTTGTATCTCTTCCACAAATGACTTTCTTGGAGCTTGAGCAGGATGTGAGCCCTAGTGGTGGAGTAATGCTTCCTGGTATATTTGTTATAACACCAAGTTGGTTTATACACATCGGACAGGTCCACGCACATTGGGATTTACCCAAATCTTGGGATCCTAGCCAATACATACACAGGTATTCTCCCAGAGCTACGAGCTGAATATTCTAGCCAAACCTAGAGTTTTAGCACATGGAAACTGATGTTTTCTGTATCAAAATTAAAATCTCACTCTTTGTTGCCACAAATTCCTCCTTCTCATATACCTTTAATCCCTGTTTTAACCCTTACCACACAGTATCTTAACTCAAATCCCAAACTCAATTTCAACCCAGTTGTAACTAATCCTAAATCAATTTCAACCCAGCTTTTGATTTAGCACTAGCTGTATTCCTGTAAATGAAATAAAAATCCTATTCTTTATCATAATATCCATCTTAGGCATAAACCTTAGCCTCAGTTGCAGCTGTAATTCTAACCCTAATATAACATAACTTTAATACCAACCTCAAATCTGACTTTAACCTCATTTATAATTTCAACTAACCCCAACCTGACCTCAGATCCAACTCTGAGGTTGCTTTGTTCCAACTCTACCATTAGCATAAATCCAGAACTCAATCCAACCCGTACTGCATTTCATTTTATTGGAAGCATGGCTACAATCCTTTCCTTTCCATTTCCTTCTGCTTAGTTCTTTCTACCTACCCCTGGCCTTCCACGCTTCCTTCGCATAAGTGGGTCTAGTTACCCATAGGGTCACCAAGTCCTTCTTTTAAGCCTCTCTAGGCTGAGTCAGGTTGTCTGGCTAGCTCTACTTAGGATCCAGAAACACCAATTGAATCAGATCCCTGTGTCTCTCCAGGCCTCTGTTTCCTAATCTGTAAAATACGGATAATGATCTCCGGTCTTCCGAGGGAGCAGGACAACCCCATAAACCTTAAAATAAATAAGGAAATAAGGGTATTCACTGCGTACATCTCGCGGGCCCCAAGGCACCCTGTTGTTGCTGCAGTTTGGGGAGCAGAGTTGGGAATACGGAAACATGTGGACTCCTAGAACTTCCTTATTCTTCTGTCTTATTTTTCTCAGAAGGGCGAGTCCTGACAGCATCCTCCAGGCCCATAACTTTCCCTAAGACTCCCCACCCCCACCCCCCATGCCCTGCACAAGCCCCATGTCAGGGGTGGGACAAGGCCCTTGACTCCTTTGAGGGAGTCAAGCAGTTGAGTTTGGCCCCTACTGATCTGCCTCCTGAGGGCAGCCCTCGAGTCCTTGGAGGCCCAGGTCTTTTCTGCACTCCTGGGGCAAATAACAAGGGCTTCCTTCTACTTTTTCCTTCTGCTGGCTAGGACCCTCCCAGAACTGTGTTGGCTTCCTTACCCCAGATCTTAATCACCCCGATAATCAGTCCAGCCTACAAGGGTCTGTGTTAATCTTTCAAGCTCTGGCCACTTTTGCTGGGCATAGAAGCCGGGATACAAGGTGACCCCTCAAGGAAGCACTGAGAGGCTCTTTACAGAGGCATCTCCCCTCTATCATCCTCACTCAAGCACATGTGAACGTAGTGCTCCTGGATACCCCCTCACCAGGACAGTTCCCTCAATTTTTCCATCCATTTCCCTCATGTCCTCCACACACCCTTGTCCCTCTTCTAGCAGGCCTCAACAAACTGTTTTAGCTCTGTATGTGTGCAGTTAGGGGCTGGGTCCCCCTAACTCTGCTGGCTCCCCCACCTGACACTGGTGGAAGCACAGCTGTAAGGGAGACTCTGTTCCTGTACACATCACACCCCTTTGCTCCTCCTTTCAGCTCTGAGGCCCTGCTCCCTTTGAAGGGCCAGAGGCCTGGAGGGGAAGGCGAGCTGAGCATTCCTGGATCCCTTTCATCTGCTAGGTCTGCCCTCCAGCCCAGGTCCCAGTATGGCAGAAAGGTCCAATTCCCTGGTGCAATTTTGCTCAGGCTTCCACTGGAGGGGTCCATGCAGAGGCTCATGAATGCCTAGAGCATGGGCCTGAGGCCTGCACTGGGAAAGTGTGTCAAGCCCAGGGTCCTGGGCCAGTGTTAACTCTTCCAAGCCTGGTCAACCTTTCTCCCCAAGCCTGGATTCTCCTTCCTTTTTCCCACTTCCCCCAGGGAAGGAGACAACAAATGAGTGGTGAGGGGAGCTCCGTGGACGCTGTAAAATGGGGCAAGTATTGCCACCCCAGGGTGGGGCCAGGAGGAAGTGGATGTTTAACAGGTGCCTAATTACATGTCCCCCTGGCCACTCGGCACTACTCTCAGGACAGGGAAGAGCTTGGGTGAGGGCTGGGTAATGCCTGGGTAGGCTATCCTGTCACCCTGCTAATTAGGGTTACTGGGCTCCTCCCCAAGGCGGGGACCAGGCCCCCTCCCTCCCATAGAAATAACACCGGCTGCTCCCCGGCTGGGCACTCACTGCACCTTCCTGCCACCCCGGGCAGTGTCTGGGCCCTCAGCTCCCCCTCCCTCCACCTGCCCCTTCCACCTACCACTACTGGCCCACAGGAACCCAGCCCAACGGAGGCGACACGGAGCCCAGAGACATGCGAGTCCGAGGGACATTCCATCTACTGCTTGTGTGCCTGAGCCCAGGTATGGGGTCGGGCAGTGGGCAGGGAAAGGGGCATCTAGGGCCCTCTGAATGCCTGCCCGCCCTCATCCCACTGCCACCCTGGTTTGGATGCTGCCAAAGGGGCCTCTGTCCTGGATAGCCTGTGACCAGGAGTTTGGGGCAGGATCTTTGTGGCATCCAAAAGCCCATGGGGCTCACACATGTGTGCAGATGCCCTGTGTACTGTGCCCATGCAGAGTACAGGGCTTGCTCAGTTACCTGTGCGGTAGGAGTCAGGTGAGCAGAGACTCTCACTCTGCGTGGGGGCTGAGGAGGAGCCTGGGAAGGATCAGTTTCCAGCAAGACTGATTGCTATTCAAAGTGGGAGAGGCTGCGTCCCAAGGCCAGAGTTACTGGCAGGGGCAGAGGAGTTGTGTGTCTCAAGAGGTTAAGTCTTGATGGTTGTTTCCATCATGAAAGGTGACAACTCAGGCCTGAGACTTCCACCATGGGCTCCCTGTGCTGTGAGGAGTCTCCAGAGGAGGAAGGGGACAGAAGGCAATTCCCAGTACCTCCTTACTCCTCTGGGGTACTCCTGCTGCTCAGGACTTAGGTTTGGATACTGCAGTGCTCTACCCAGGCTGGGCAAGTCCCAGCAAGGGCTGCTTTGTTGTGTATCACTGAAATAGATCTATGCTGCTCCTGGGGTCTGGATTTGGGATGAAGGGGTGTGAGGAAGAAGTGTGGGAAGGGAACTGTGTCAGGCTGTGTGTGTGTGTGTGTGGGGGGGGGGGGGTGGCTGATGGCATTTCTGGCAGGATGTCTGTACTGTAACACTCTCTGTGTCCTGTAGTAGTCGGGCTGTTGGAGCCCGCCCAGGGTCACTGTACAGCTGCTTTTTTTCGGTCTACTTTCTCCTTTCTCACTTTCCTGTATGGCAGCTGCTCGACAATTCAAGAGGATTTACAGTTGAAAGTAGCTACTACTACTGAGGGGACACCTCCTGAGGAGGACCAGCTCCCGGTGTTTTGTGGGGAGACAATGGCCACTGTCTTCCTTGGAGAGCATCACGTGACCCCCTATTCTCAGCACCCAACTCTCTTCTGAGGTGGCTTTATTCCTTTCTCCAGCCTCTCTCTTTCCTTGTGCTCCCTGCCATGGGGATAAATAATAGGGACAACTTCCTAAAAAGAGGGAGGAAGTGCAAAAAGCTGGAACCTTTGGGAGGAGGCTGAGAAAGCTCCTGAGAATGAGAAGATGGGGTGAGGCTGGGACAATTGAAGAAAGTCCCTCAGTACAGGGTGGAGGCATAGCCTGTCCCTCCTTCTCAAGCCCCTTTCTCTGAATCCTTGCGCTCCTGTCTGACTGGCCTCCACGGTGTGTGGGAAGAATCCTCCCTGTTGCCAGCTGCTTTCAGTGGCTCTGCCCCAGGGCGGGGCCTCAGCTCTCACCTGAGTTCTGGCTCATCCTTGGCTCTCCATGTACGCCCCAGGATTTGGACGATAGCATCAGGATCCTTATCTCAGGAATGAACTGGTATTCACTTGGCCTGGGGCTGGCGGAGGCTTCGCTAGGTCCCGTTAGCACCTCTGCTGCTGCCACCTGCTAGGATCTGGAACTCTGCAGGCTCAGGGCACAGCTGATGGCACATCTAAGGTTCCACAGGACAAGTTCAGGGATTCCTGAGGAGCTGGAAGGGCCCTTGTTTGCCTCTCTGAAGCCAGGTTACACCTGGCAGGTTGGGTTTCTACAGATATGTCTGGTCTTGAATGAACGCACATGAAACCTTAAGAGCGTGCAGTGGGTGTGTTTCTGGATTAACATATATTGCAAATACATATCTGTGTTGGTATAGACCTGTTAGTGTCTGTGTAAGGAGGACTGCACAGAATGTATGTGCATTTTGAAGGCTTGAAGGAGTATGTTTATGTGTCAATTTGTCTTGCCGATGATACTGAAATTGTGTATGTGAGATGCTCTTGAGGTGTGTAAGTAGTCCTGAGTCAAAGAAGCAAGAAATAGCATGATTGCTAAGACTTGAGGCTGGGACTCCACAGGCCATACTGACTTTAAAAAGTCTAGAGATGGAAAGCTAGCCAGCTGGGTGAGGAGCCTGAGGACAGAGTGTTACTGGAGACCAGAGACAGGGTGCTCAGTACTCAGGGTGAGTCCCTGGGTACATCCCCCTCTTATCCCTCTCTAGGTCTAACCGGTTTGGGCTAGCATTTGCCTGGGGCTTTGGGATAGGGAGGGATAGGAGCTCAGTCTTGAGCTTCTGGCTCCTGCCTCCTAACCCTGGCTGCTGCCTCTGACTCAGTGTCAGGAGGGGCCCCAATGTGGGAGTATCTGTACCTGAGCCACAAGGGGAAGGACACAGTCTGCAGCAGCACATATCACCATGCCAGACTTTTCCTGCAGATGTACGCAGCCATAGTCCCAGCCATACATCACCACTCACTGTCACACCTGAGCACAGGCAGGCTCTGGGTCACACCTGCCACTGTCATACAAGGGCACACATTGTCACTTAGAGCACTCAGCACTGGCACAGTCAGGTACACACTGTCCATAGCCACAGACACACACACAGTCATACTCAGATACACAGGGACAGACACATCCAGCCTATTGCTTCTCAGGCTGGAAATGGACCCCAGGAATCCTTGTATCTGTCCTGCTTCTTGGCCTAGACAGGTGGCTTTTAATCAGCCAGCCTCTTCCATCATAGCACTTAACACCTCTAGGTATTCTAAATGCCTACACACAAAAACAAATACACACATAAAACAGATCATCCACACTGTCACATAAATATATAAGCAGGTATCACATGGTCATGTGCATGAATATCCTTGGAGCTACAAATGCTCATAAGCATACAATTTACATAAGGATATATATTTTATGTATACACTGAATCCTGTATACATACAGGCAAATATAATGTCTGTGTATACAAACAATATTCAGGTGCACAGCCACACACTCACAGAATATATACATGACTCTGAACATGGAAGACGGTGCCACCTAAATAAGCAAGCAATGTAAGTATGCACAGACATGCCCCTACCTATTTATACATACATATGCATGCATATCCAAGCAGCTTCTCCCCTCTGTGGAAGCCCCACTGAGCCCTGGATGACAACTGAAAGAGAATAGTGGAAGGGGAGGCTGAAGCAGACTGAACCACTGGCCTCTCCTCATCCCACCTGCTTTGCCTTTCCCAGCACTGCTGTCTGCTGTACGGATCAATGGGGATGGCCAGGAAGTCCTGTACCTGGCAGAAGGTGATAATGTGAGGCTGGGCTGCCCCTACATCTTGGACCCTGAAGATTATGGTCCTAATGCACTGGACATTGAATGGATGCAGGTCAACTCGGAACCCTCATCTAGAGAGAATGTGGTGAGTGCTGGCCAGAGTTCTCTTTACTCTGTACGTCACTGGGCATCTAATATCCTGAGAGGAAAAGGAGGGCAGGAAACAAAACCAAGACCTTGCAATTCCCCCAGTGCCTCTCAGGTTAATGGGATAATTGGGATAAGAGTTGTGCAACTGGGAATCAAGCCAGCCATTCAGTCTACTTCCTCTTACCCCATTCCAACAGGAAGATCAGATATTGCCGCTGCTCATAAGTTACTAGACCTGATGCTTTATGAAGTGCTTGATCTTATCTAATTTCTCCCATTCTGTAAGAGATCACTGGGACGAGCATCGTCATTCCCATTTACAAAAAAGCAGTCTCAGAGCAGTTAACTGAATTGCTCAAAGCAGCCAAGCTACATAGCCCTCCTTGGTTCTGCCTTTCTCACCACCTGTTTTCCTCTTCTTCACAGTTCCTTAGTTACCAGGACAAGAGGATCAACCATGGCAACCTCCCCCATTTGCAGCAGAGGGTCCGCTTCGCGGCTGCAGACCCCAGCCAGTATGACGCGTCCATCAACCTCATGAACCTGCAGGTATCTGACACAGCCACCTATGAGTGCCGGGTGAAGAAGACCACCATGGCTACCCGGAAGGTCATTGTCACTGTCCAAGGTATGGCCAGACTCCTCTAGGCTCCTCTTCCCCAAGCTTTGGGGCTGAGGGCATCCTAACGGCCATGAGCCTGCCTGGTCCTGGCTCACTATCACCTACCTCTCTGCAGCACGCCCCGCGGTACCCGTGTGCTGGAGCGAAGGCCACATGACAAAGGGCAACGATGTGGTGCTGAAGTGCTTTGCCAACGGAGGCTCCCAGCCACTCTCCTACAAGTGGGCCAAGATCAGCGGGAACATCCACCCCTACCGAGCAGGGTCCTACCACTCCCAGCACAGCTATCACTCTGAGCTCTCCTATCACGAGTCTTTCCATGGCTCCATAAATCAAGGTGAGGGGCCTGGTAGGGGCAGTGTGCAGAGGATGTTGGTATCTGCTGGGGCTTCCCTGGCTTAGGGGTGGCTCTAACTCCCACCTGGAAGCCCTGTGGAGGGCTCCTCCTCTGGGCCTGTCTCAGCAGCTCCTGTTGAGGGAAGAAGAGAAGGCAGACTTGGGAAGTCAGCCAAAAGCAGTTTGAAAATCTGGAAAGAGATTTTGAGATGGAGCTGGTCTTGGTCCGGCTGGGACACTGACTAGTTGTGAGCTCAGGCCCATGGCACATTCTCTCTGTGCCTTGATTTCTTTACATGTTAGGAGGGAATCCCAACACGTGCCTCTCAGGGACATGTGAGGACTAAATGGAATGAGGTGTGTGATGCTCCTGGCACAAAGGGAAGCTGGGTCATAACCCACAAAGACTAACTGAGCTAAGAGGGACCTAGGAGTTCTCTGATCTAACCCTGTTCTCACTGTATGGGTAAAGGAGGCTCAGAGAGGAAATGAACTTCCCTACAGTTACTGAAAGAATTAATGGTGTTGGTGTCATTACAGGGAGAGGGGTCTCAGCACAGGGAGGGGACTCAGCTGAGGGTGAAGTGAACCTGTGTGTGTGTCTCCCACCCCCCAACCCGCAGGGGCTGAGGCTGAGGTGGGGGCTCTCAGAGACCATGCCTATCTCTCATTACACCTGATGCTCTTCCAATTTCAGGCCTAAGCAATGGGGACCTGGTGCTGAAGGACATCTCTAAAGCAGACAACGGGCTGTATCAGTGTACAGTGGCCAATCACGTAGGCTACAGTGTGTGCGTGGTGGAGGTGAAGGTGTCAGGTAGGTGCACTGGTCGTGAGGTTTCTGGGCTGGGAGAGCTGGAGGGGTGGCACCTGGGCTCTGCCTTCCAGCTGGAAACTCTGAGATAAGCAGCAGGCACGCAGGGTTCACCTGCATCTCCCACACCTTCCTCACTGGCTATCCCAGAACCTGAGACCTTCTGGTTCTGTCCCTCTTTCCCACAGACCCCTGCCGAGGTACTTCCTAGTCAATCGGGCACTTGCCAGGAGGTGAGAGAAGTCTAACCCGCCTCTGCCTCTCTCCACAGACTCCAAGCGTGTGGGCATGATCATCGGCGCCGTGCTGGGCTCCTTGCTCGTGCTAGCCTGCTTGGCCTTGGGCATCTGGGGGCTCGTCATCTGCTGCTGCGGGGGCCCCGGGTCTGGAGGCGCCCGCGGCGCCTTCGGCTACGGCAACGGCGGCGGGGTCGGCGGCGGGGCCTGCGGCGGCGACTTGGCTAGTGAGATCAGGTAAAACCTGATGCATGCTGCTCGCTGCTGCGCGGCAGGGGACCGGCGCCCTGCCCTCCTCTCCCCTGGCTGCCACCGGTCGGCTGGGACCCCCACCCCAAACCTGCCCGCCATCGCCACGGAGCGCTGGGACCTCAGCATGTCGACCTGCCACTTGCAGCATGGCTTTTCTGTCCCCTTCTCCTGTCTCCACCTCCGTTCCCCAGCTCTCCATCCCCTCCGGCCTTCCGACTCCTCTGTCCGTCTGTCTTCGTAGACTGTAAGCTCCTGGAGGGCAGGGCCTATGTCACCCTCCCCTCTTGCCCCCACATTTCCCTTGTATCGCGCCGGTGAGAACTTTGCCATGCTATTTAAGAAGTTAATAATAAGAATAGTGCCAATAACTTATATTAGAAACTAGAAATAAAAACAGAACAAGACTAGCAGTGCTAATGATTGCAATGCCTTGGGGATGAAGGGAAAGATGGAGACAATGGAGACGTGAGGGGCAGGAAGTGAGGAGAGACAGCAAACTAGGCCCAGGGTCAGGGTTAGAGAAGGAAAACGGGAAGGAGCGCACGGCTCCCTCCCTGCAGAGGCGGCGTCTGGGCCGAACCTCAGCCAGGGCGGAGGGCGCCGGGCTGGGGCTGCCGAACGCGACCCAGACGTGGCTAAAGAATGGGATCGGTGACCCCCATCCCCACCCCGGGACTACTTCAGGGTCACCGGCCAGGAAGGGGCGGAGAGGAGAGTAGGTCGCAGCCGAGGGAGAGAGATGAGGGCAGGTAGAGGAGGGAGGCGCGGGAGACACACGCTGCCGCGAGCCCCCAGCTCTGCCCAGGCCTTGCCCACGCCGCGCCGCGGAGGAGCCGCTCACCCGCCCGCCTGTTGTTTTCCACAGAGAGGACGCCTTGGCGCCCGGGTACAAGGCCAGCGGGCGCGGCACCCGCGTCACCCAGCTCCTGGGGTACCCCACGCAGAACGTCAGCCGCTCCCTGCGTCGCAAGTACGCGCCCCCGCCCTGCGCCGGCCCCGAGGACGTGGCCCTGGCGCCCCGCACAGCCGCCTGCGAAGCGGGTCCCTCCCCGGTCTACGTCCAGGTCAAGAGCGCCGCGCCGGCCGAGGGCGCCGAGGGGCTGCAGCAGTGCAAAGACGGGCTCTTGGTGTGAGCGCGCGCGCCGGGCTGCGCCCCGGCCGGGACAGGGCGCGGGGCTCTCCGCCAGCAGCCGGGGACGCGTTCGGGCCTGCGCGCGCCTCGCTCTCTCCCCCCAGGCTGCCTGGCGGCTGGGGGTTGGGGAGGGTGGCTGAGGGATTTCCGAGGGGAAGACAGTTGGGGAGCATGGGCCTCCTCCCCCAAAGCGGGAGGGGGCCAGAAGGGACGGAGGAAGGCAGCCCGAGCCCTCCCGCAACTCCTCGGCTCCAAGGCTCAGGCGCGAGGTGGGGAGGACAAGCTCAGTCCGTGTGAGAGAGCGGCCCAGGCGCAGGCCAGGCGTCCCCAGCCAAAGCGGAGAGTCCGGGCCCCGTGGGTGGGATCTGCACTGAATTGTTGTGTGTATGTTAGATCTGAGCTCCAGGCAACAGTATTAGCACAATAAAGAAGCGTTAAGACTCGCGCCTACGTGGCTGTCTAGTGTTCCAAGGAGAATTGGGCCTGGACCGGGAGCGCCCAGGTTCTGGGTTGGGGAAGTTGTTCCCTGACACCTCTTTCCTCTTCCCCTTCTTAAAGGGAAAGGCAGAGCTGGAAGGAGCCATCCAGTCCTCCTTCATAGTACAAATGAGGAGACTGAGGCCCCTGGCTGGACTTTAAATCCAGAAACCTACCTTTCCTTTTCATTGTAGAATGTCAGAAGGGAAAGCAGGAGACTGCCAGAGGTGACCGTCCTCAGGATGCTCCTCTCTCCTCCGTCTACCCAATGCTGACTTCTTTCTTTCTCTCAGATATGTGCTTTCCTTCCAAACCGCCAAGAAAGGGTCTGGAGTCATACTTAGATGGCATGTAACCTAATCCTCTGATAGGAAAAGGTTTGGGTTTATTGAGCACCCTTTAAATGTCAAGCACGGTTAGACATTTTACTTTATTTATCCCTTACTTCATTCCTATGAGGCTGTTCGTTATCCCCATTGTAGAAATAAGGCTCAGGAAGATTAGGCGTCTACACCAAGGCAGCAAAAGTAGTAATTCACGATCTGGTCTAGGAATATTTGACTCCAGGACATCAGGCCATTTCTCTGATATTTGAATTCTGGACAAAGGACATTTCAACCTCTTCAGCTCATCACCTCTCAAAGCAGGCTGTTATTTAACAGAACATTTCTTGTAGAGAACTCCCAAAGCTTTTATCCCTTGGTCCAAGTTGTACTCCTAGGGAACCCAGAGCATCATATTTCCAATTCAGCTGCAAGTAGTGCCAAGTGTTCTCTACATATTGGAGAGTTGTAGCAGTCACACAGCTAACTGAATTTATGTCTAGTGTAGAGGTAGAGATCTTCAGAAACGTGTAATACTTCAAGGTCACCTAGTTCTACCTGCCCTCTCCAGTCACTTGCTTCTTTGAGAGCCCAGACTCTTCTCACATTGTTTCTCTTCTTTGAATAGAAGCTGGTTTACCTAATTCTTTTTGCTTCTACCTTAGACTCACATGAAGTGAGGTATGCACGGGCCTCAGAGCAGCTGAGTTTAGGAAGCCCTGAAATCCTGCCTGGTAACGTGGAGCTAGGAAGCCCTTGAGTTGGCTTGGGTACTTACACAGGGGTAATGGCCATGGTGGTCTGCCTTCGCAGAACCAGGGAGGAAAATAAGAGCTAATGATGAGATAAAGGGAACTATGGAAAGCTGAACTGGGGGCAGGGCCGTGGGGGAACTAGAGGATGGGTAGGGGTATACAGGGAGAGAAATTAAACAGGGAGGGGAGCAGAAAATACCAAGAACCATCTGTTATTTACTAGGCCACATTTATGAGCATCTCTCGTGTGACTAATTCACAGGTGGAGCAAGATCTTCAGCAGGGCCCTGTGCCTGGCACATGCTTTTGCCCTAAGGAAGGAGATTGACTGGGTGGACTCCAGGAGGGTGCTCCTAGCTGGAGGAGCCTCCAGCTCAGCCTGTTGCAAGGTGGTGAGGGCCAGAGACAGTCAGCTGACCTTCTGTTCTGGGAAGCCTTGCCTTCATTTGAGAAGAGATGTAGTGGTAGCGGGTAGGGGCAGTGAGCCTCTCTCAAAAAAAGCCCATTAAAAACAGCAAGAAAGATCTCAGGGAGACTCTGAGACTGTTTCCTGTTAGGGTTACTCAACCAGGGAGGTTCCTAAACCATAGGAGATTGCAGCCCTTTCTGTGCTCAGTGTCCCAGAGCAAGGGGGTGGGGAATTTCTGCTCAGCTGATTTTGCTGCTGGAGCACCTTCCTCTATTTTGTTTATTTCTATCATTGCTGGAGGAGAGAACTTGTGAAGATAAGTGTTGAAGAGCAGCTTTGGGGAGTGGGAGAGGGATGCACAGGGAAGTCTTTTCTATAAATATTCCTGCTGTGGCTGGTTGTGAGCCATCAATGTGATGTTATTGGTGTGGAAAAATGTCCACTGGTACATTTCCACAACTCAGATACAACAGAGGTAAATAACCTCAAGAGTTGCAATGATAAGAGACCTGAAGTAAGATAATCAAGATGTGAGCGTGGTCCAGTACATTTGTCTTTGTTTTAATTGTAATTTAACTTGTTTAATTGGAAGCTTATGAAATTTACCTTTGAACCAGGTCCACTGAACAACTGATTTGCCAAATGTAGGTGGGCCAGGTCACTGACTGTGTTGGTCCACTTTGCATCACTGTAGTAACATACCTGAGATACTTGATTTCGAAGAGGAAAGGTTTAATTTGGGTCATGGTCTCACAGATTTCAGTCTATGATTGTTTGACTCAGTTGCTTTTGGGCCTGTGACCATTCAGTGCATAGTGGCAAAAGCACAAGGCTAAGATCTCCCTTCATCAACAGAAGGTAGAAAAATACAGAGCCAGGTGGGGATTCCAATATCACCTTCCAGGACACGCACCCTGTGAACTAACTTCCACTAGTTCAACCTCTTAAATGTTTCACCACTTCCCCCAGTGACCTAGTGGGCTGAAAACAAAACCTCTAACCCACGGACCATTGTGTCACACTTACCCCAGACAACAAGAAGCCTAGGCACAAATGCTTACTTGAGAGTGGATCTATCTACCTTGGGAGCTGAGACAGGAGGATGCCAAGGTGAAACTCAGGTGGGGCAATTCAGCAAGGTCTTGTCTCAAATAAATAAGGTTTAGAATGTAGCTTAGGACAAAAGATCCTGGATTTAACCCACATTTTACACACACATACGTGTACAAACACACACACATACACACACGCATGCACAGAGGGAGGAAGAGAAAGAGTCTCAAGACAGTCTTGATGTCTGTTTTTCATAGAGAAACAGCATAATATGAGTTGTTTCCCTTCCCCTTTGTACCTTTGCATCTTGTCCTTCTCTTCAGCTCTACCTGGAGTGAACTCTAGTTCCTTTGGCCATTAAAAACATTATTTAGATAATTTATAGCTCTTTGGAAACCAAGACCACTCCTGACAGTCATTAGAAACTTAACTTGGCCTTCACAGGATTTCCATGCATTTGCTTACAGGAGCAACCAGCTGTGGGAAATCTATTCTAGAGACACCTTTGAGTCCTTACTGATACAAATATTTGTCTGATTCTTCTTCCTAGGTTTTAGGAAGTTCTGCTTTAGCACCACATTCTCTTAAGCCCCAGACTCTCAAGCCTGTGGGCAGGAGGTATGGTGAACGATCAATGAACCATCAAGGTTGCCCTCCTAGAGTGATTCTCATACTGCCCATTATATATCAGTTACTTTAGGCCCAAACTGCGGGGTAGGGTTGATTTTGTTTTTTGACTCACTGGGAGCAGGTAAATTTTGTGAATTACCCAATCCTTGTTCTTCTAGAACTAGAAAACTACTCAGTTCCCCTTGGCTTATGTTGTGGAGAGACAGCACTGGATGGGCACTTTAGTCCTATCCCCTAAGCTCTTTGGGGGCCTGTTTAGAGCTTGTTTCCCCAGTTTGCTGGGACCCTTGCAAACCCTGTTCTGCAGTTTGCACTCATCCATCAGCCCAGCTAGCATGATCATTTCATCTGGAGTTTGGACACAAAACCAGTGCCACTCAGTCCCATTGCACTTAGGAAGAGCGTGTAGAGGGGATGCCACAAAACCAGTGCTACTCAGTCCCATTGCACTTAGGAAGAGTGTGCAGAGGGGTGGGCACAGGGGCTGCTCTGGGAAATCTGGAGGAGCTTGAGGGCTGCTGACAGGCAGAGGACAAGACAGCCTTCTGCCAGGCCTCTGTGGCCACTGCTCTCAGCATCCTCTTGGGGTGGAATTGAGAAGGACAGGCAGGAAGGGACCCTGAGCAGGAGGGAAGAGGCTGAAGCCCTTAAATAAAGGCAGGAAATTGAGTTGGGGTGGGCGTGCAAAGCAGAGTGAGGTGATGTGGGTGCTGTGTGCATTTTGAGGGTAGGAGAGAAAGGAAATGAGAAAAATTATAATAAATTTGTGTGATTAGCTATATTCCCTTCTGCAAAGGAAGCCTCCAGATAGACCCGAATTCATAGTTATTTCACAAACTTCCCAAACCTCACTTTTTCTATAAAATAGAATAGGGTTGGGATTATTTTTATGTGATACAGCCTGGTACATAATAGGGCTCAGAAAATGACTGATTTCTCACCACCCATGTCACTAATACAAAGTCTGCCCCCCCAAAAAAGAAGTATATACACAGGAAAAGAAAAACTTATATAAATATTTCTATATACAATTTATATAAATATTTCTATAAATTTATTGAGACATCAATTATTTAAGACAAGTTATCTTTGTAATTATAAGAGGTGCTTGAAGTGGTAGCTATCTTTTGAAAAACACTATACTACTTTTTCTTGAAGTGTGTGTACATTGTTTTTTGGCAGACTGTATAATTCCATCTTCCACGAGAGGGCAGGCCCATAGGAACAGATCTAAGCACATAGGGTGGTCCACAGGGCACAGGATAGGGCAAGAAGAAGGAAGCCTTGGGATTGAAGTTGGAGACAGCTCACCATTTGGGAAAGGGAGCCCAGGAAGTAACAAGTGCCAAA